AGTGGAAAGGAAATTTACAGTAACCACATACAAATGTTGCTTAATTAGTGAGATTCTCTGGCTTCAGTGTTTTATTCCACAGATTGGATTTGAGATGGCACCTGACAAAAGACCAGAAGAAAGAGAGGAGACAGGGAGTATAAGAGAGGAGAGGGGAGGGAAAGGGAGGGGAGGGGAGAGAAGAAAGAAGGGAGAAAGAGAGAGAGAGAGAGATCCCTAAATAGGAATCTTTGAGCCCTGTTCTACTCTTCCTTTAGTAAGCTGTGGCACTGAACTTTCAAAGGCCTTTATATTCTATTTGAAGTCTCAGGCCACAGAATGTCGAGTCATCTTGACACTGACCAGTGAGGCTTGGTGGTTATTAAGTGTCCTCCACATCCCATCTGCCAACCCAAAGGCAGCAACTCATTGGGGAGGCTTTGGGGTTACCATCATTCTGATTGGGTAAACGTCAGATGCCTCTTAGGGATGAGTCCTGACCACTAAGGGGGAAGCCCACTAGCCAATAACAGCAACATGTTCTGGGAATTGGAATAATGTTTTGGAAACATCTTTAAAAAAATGTTAGCATCACTGGAAACGGAGAATAAGGATATCGCCTCAGCAGTCAACTGCTTTGCGAGGAATCAGAATCATTTGTATGCATCAACTCTTCTGGGCTTGCTTAAAACTCTGTTCCTTTCCTCTGACTGTACCAGCTGGAAGGCAGTGCCAAGGACAATCTGGCTGGTCTGCACCCATTATTTCTAGAAACTTCTTGTATTTCTAGTGAGAATGGTGAAATCAGCTCTCGCTCTGACTCACTGCATTTCCCTGGGAAGGGATGGATGTGTTCACAGAGTTGCTTAGTCCCTGGAACAGAGAAAACATTTTTGGAAGAGCAGTTTCCCTGGAACAACAGGCTGACCAAATATCCTACACCAACCAATCCCGAGGCCAATCAGGTGCCATTTCTTCCCACTCTTACTCTGAACTTTTGAACATCAGTTAATCCATACTGCCAGCATAAGCCAGGGGAAGGCAGTTTCGTTCTACACATCTCTGAAGGATACATTTGAAAATTCAGTGCGATTCTGAATTTGACTCAGCTGGGCAGCTCCAGAGATGGAAGAGGCGTATCTTCCCATATGATCGGGACTAGTGATTCCACAAGTGGCACTTTCATGTTAGGCCTCTTCTCAGACAAACGTGGAGACAGAGCCTTAGCTCATCTATCTTCTCCTCTTATAGAAGGAAAGACAGCTTCACTTCTAGAGAGAGAATCTACCAGGGAATCTACTCAGGAAGCTGCTCAGGGACATGAGGTCAAGGAAGGCTGGTCTTGACTTGAGGGATTTATCCCATCTCTGAGCCTTCATGGTCCCTGGAGGTAAAAAGTATGGAGTTGTTGAAAGGCAAAGGCTCACATCTAGAGCCACAACAAAGGGGCTGCTTAGAGTCTGTCTATCATCTCTAGAGATGAACTACTTAATGATTTTTATCAACCAAAGTTGATCCAGAAGTGGAAGAGAGGAAAGAGAGAGGAAGAAGGGACAGAAAAAGAAAATACAACCCCTTAAGTGAGAAGAGCAAAAACTATGACCTTCCTCCTTGTCTCTGCTGGCAGACAAACCTCTTTCCCGAATCCGAAATCCAGTAGGGAGGAAAGGAAATAAACGTTGAAATGGACCTTGTGTGCCAGGCTGATTTCCACAGAGACCAAAGGACAAGCATGGCCCAATGACTTGGATACACACACAAGGAATTTCAACGTGACTTGGGTAGGAACTCAAGGCCTGACTGAGGCCACAGAGTCTCAGTCCTATTGAGGCAGGGTGATACTTTGATCTGGATAAGAAGAGTTTGACCTAGGGAATCTAACAAGTTGAGGTTCTTCTCTTCCTTCTCCTTTGCTGTGTTCTGAGCCATCGCCTAACCAAACTTCAGTAACTACTTGCAGGGGCATATTGTAATTTGTGGTCAAGACGCTGCTGAAGAGAGCAAGGTCTCATGTAGCCTGAATTTGCCATCTAACCATGGAGCTGGGTATGATTTTGCTCCCAGGAAGACTCACACTCTAGGGTGTGAGTCTCTGGCTCCACTACCAAGAAAGGTTGCTCAATGGCCCTGTTTTACTAATAGTTAATCCCAGATGCTTTGCACCCTTCCTGAAAATCCTAACATTTCAAAGCTCTTATGTTCCAAAGAAGACAGTAAGATTTATTACAAGTCTGCCACAAGATAAGCAATTCCATATAGCCAACAATCTGCCTATGGTAGATACAATATAAGAAAGAGTGTATAAATAATGAGAGGTCTATGGTCTTCAAATGTGATTTTTTTAAAAAAGAAAACTGAAAAGAGTTGTTGCCTCCAAGTGCCTCCTTTAGAAGTATTTCCTTCACCTTTCTGCAACTGGAAAACATCTAGAACTTCACATCCAATCACAGAGAAACTCTCAGTCTCAAATGTTGCCTGTTGGACCCCTGCCTGTTCCTGCCTGCTTCAAGATGCTTGGAAAGAAGAAACAAGATCTCCTAACCTGCCATACTTAGCTTCACTCTTCCTGAAGCCCACGTTTGCCTTTCCCCTTAGGTGAAAAAAAAGTCTAACTTTATGAAGAAAAATAAAATTCTCAATTAAAAACCTGAGGTCTCTTGAAAATAATTTCCCTTCTAGAATAAATCCTTCATCTTAAAAAAGAATCCTTTGGACCTCAAGTGGAAGCCAACAGCATTTCCTGCTACCCAGCTCGCCCACATCCCCCAGCATACCCATAGCCCAGGGTACTTGTCCATGAGACCCTTTGCAGAAGCTGACCAGAGTCCCTGTGAAGGATTCTTGGGTAGTGCAACCACACCTGTGTGCAGGTACGCATCGACAAGAGCACACACAGAATGCACCAGAGAGATACATGCATACAGAGACCCATGTTCAAGTCCATTGGAGTCCACACCCAGATATGAATTACACATACAGTCGAAAAGAGCCAATGAGACAGGCAGATCTTACATCCTGGTGGATGAAGGAAGGGTCTATGGAGGGTCATTGGTTAGTGGATGAGAAGGCGGGTAGATGGATAGGAGGAGAGGAGATGAAACTGAACGTGGAGGAAGAAGGCTGCGGAGTGGCTGGCAAAGTTCCCAAAGAATTCTAGTTATACAACAACTGGATTTCCTGCTACAGGGCTGACTCTAGTTATATCAGCTTGAGGACTCTTATTTTGCCTCCCCAGGACTATCAGACTCCTGCAGGGCCCCCAAGGTGATGTGAGCTGCTCCTGCCCCGACAGCATTCACAGCTCTGGCTGGCTTCTTCCCCTGTTGGTATCTATAGTACCAATTCATTCAAGGGAGTGAGAGACATTGGTATGGACTTGTGCCATCTCTGCTTGGGTGGTAGCCACTAAGACAGGTATTTTGGGATTCATAGCCTGGAGTAGCGAGAGGAAAGGTAAGGTGATGGAAAGAGTCAAGGGTTACCCATTAATTTACACAATATCATACAAACTAGAGCCCATGGGAAATGGAGGTTCTCTCTCCGCATGTGACCTGCTTCATCTGTACAGAGGTCACCCCTTAGGAAAGGGGCAGATGTTCAGTGACAAAGGACAGCCCCCCCAATGGGGAGCCAAGGTCTTGTTTGGTATACGTACATGTGCATCAGCAACCAGAGGCAACCTTCTGTTTCCCTCCTGAACCGTGCGTTCCCCCTCTTCTCTCATGGCTTTTGTGCCCAGTTGTGTCTTGAACTTCCAAAATTAAGAGGACTAAATCTTGCAGAGTTCCAGCACTGTAACACGAAGAACCATGGGGTCCTCTGGCCCAATGGTTTTGTTCTTGGTTTTGCCCTCTGGGAATGTTAGCTGTACCAAAAATAATAGAAAATAAAACGCAACACAAACAAAACCTCACTCTCAGGAAACATTTACCGTATGCACACACATGTGTATACACACTCACACTCACACACACACACACACACACACACCTCCAAGGATCTATAGCTGCAGGATTGGCACCCATCCAGGCCTGCCTTTGGTGATACTTCCTAGGCCTTGGAGCCTCTGTCTTGGGCCAGTAAACCTCCACAGTGTTACACACAACAATCACAATGCAATATGAAGCCGCCCAATGAACATGCACACACGCCTACATGCGCACGCGCACTCGCACACACACATACACATCACAGCATCATTGCTCCAAGGCTTCAGTCTGCCCAGGGAGTGCAGGTTGGGGGAGGACAGGGCAGCCTCTTGTTTAACTTGGGTATAAGGCAGCTGGAAGGTAAGACTGGGTTTTCTGAGCAGCCACTGAAGTATCCTTTGATTGACGTGGATCTTGCCCTCTCCATGTGTTTTCTCCCCTTCCCACCTCCAAAACTTTGTCCAAAAAGTTTGGCCACAAAGAGAAAACTTCCCTTTCCAGTTTGTTTTCTCTTGGACTCGTGATGTGTTGCTGGCAAGCCAGGAAGGAGATCAAAGGAGGAAGAGCGGGAGAAGTGGTTCTAAAAACGGGCTCGAAGACGTGGTTACATTCGATGAACTTCGGAGCCTTGTTTCCCCAGGGTGGGATGGCCGGCGGTGGTGTCTTCTCCTGCTGGCCCAGTGTCTAGCACACGCTTCTCTACATCTGGGTTGCTTCGTACCACTGCCACTGTCCCTTCCAGCTCGCCTCCACATCCTCAGGAGGGAGGGGAATCAAGACACTACCGCTCAAGCGGTGGTGGTGGTCGTTGTGTCTTCAAGAAACCATGAAGCCAAAGAGTCAAGGATTGATGGAAGAGCCACAAGATGGGGGTACATTCCCCATCTTGGCGATGAGGCGACACAAAGTCCAGCGAGATGCAGGCGCCTGAGCCAACTTGACGCTACCTTGGCACTGGCATCATCTTGATTGAGTTTCATTGTATATATGTATATTATATATATATTTATATATATGTGTGTGTGTGTATGTGTGTGTGTATGTGTGTGTATGTGTATGTGTGTGGTTTGTTTGTTTTTTGTGATTTTTTTTTTAGCACACGGTCCCGTTCTCGGGTCTGGATTTAGGGCAGTTGGTCCTCGGGACAGGTTGGACAGAGGGGGCCAAGGTACAGAAGAATCCCGAGATCAGCGTGAGGCCCAGGCCCCCCCATGCACAGAACATGGACCATCCATAGCCATGACTGATGTCATCTGGGAGTCCATACAGGTAGCGAGGGTAGCGGGACAGCTCAAAGTTGATCCCGGCCACACAGGTACACAGTGAAATAATGCAGAAGGTTCCTGGAGAAGAGGGAGAAAAGACAGGATGGGGAAATGGAGAGGGGAAGGGGTAGAGGAGAGGGACAGAGAGAGAGAGAGAGAGAGAGAGAGAGAGAGAAGTTAGGATTACTACACTTTCAATTTCTTGGCCCAAAGAAATGAGGGGATCCGAACAAGAGCAGGCCATTACCAAGGCGATCATTTAGAAATACTCATGGTGTCAGGAGGAGTATTAAAGAATCACCCATTCCTTACTCTCCAATAATTGCCCACTCTTGGACAAATACCAGCAATCTCTTCCTGGGAAAAACACCCTAAATAAGTATCATATTAGCGTTTTATGTAGAACAGAGGGGCACAGAGCATTCAGTTGATTTTTCAAAAAGCAATTACAACCTGTTGTCTTTCTTGGGAAATAGTGAAAGCATCCCATGGTACTTCTTATTTCCAGTCGTGGGGCCTGAACTCTGGGCCTGGGCACTGTCCCTCAGCTCTTCAGCTCAAGGCTAGCGCTCTACCACTTGAGCCACAGTGCTACTTCCGGCTTTTTTCTTTTTGCTTATGTGGTACTGAGGAATCGAACCCAGGGCCTCTGGGTTCTTCTTTAACAATAAAAATATTCTCCCCCCACCCACCCACATACATAAAATCTTTTATAATATTAGGCCTTTCTTCAGTCAATCCACAAACAACTCAACCCACTAGAAAAACAAATGCCCTCCTAGTTTAGTGTCTTTACTTTCCAACTCCTAGAAAATCGTTTCCCAATTTCAATAGGATGATATTTCCCCAAAGGTTCTCCAAGGAGTACTACTTCTCTGAGGCACACTGTTACCAGGTAGGGGATAAAGTCAAAAACATTTGGAATCCTGCACATGCCTTTTTTCCTTTGTAATCCATGTATGTGTATGTGAATGTGTCAAATCTACTTCTGTAATAAGCTTATTTGATCATGAGACCTCCCATTAAAAAATATTACTCATATTAGCCTCCAGTGAAAAGATCATTTGAAGAGGCAGAAGGGGATAAAATGATTTAGAGTTATCATCCTATTTTTAACCAGTGCAAATATTTGATCTACCTTGAATGAATTGAAGAGCCTTGTCAGCATTTTCTCTCCTTTTCCTTAGATGACCACTGATACTGTGCACAGTGGACTAGGCTGGATTAATGAAAGGGTAAAGAGTGGCATATTTGCTAAGGGAAAGGAGTATAATTAGTATGATGTGCAGTTTTCCATTTATTATAAAAATTCTTGCTTCATGAAAGCAGTTTCTTTAAGATAGAGTCTTATGTCTAGCAGAAGTCTCCAACAAGGGAAATGCGTGGAGTAATGAGAGTCAAGAGTTTGTGATCATTAAAAGTCATAGTTGCTACATTCCTACTAAAGTGGTATGTGCTGGGTTCTATGCTAAGTACTTAACATACATGGCTTGTTTCATTCTTAAGACAGCTCTGTGAGGCATATTGCATTATTATCTTCGTTTTTCTCCATGAAGGTATTGAGACCCAGAGAGGTTAAGATCACACATCCAGGAACTAGAAAAGCCAGGCTGCAGTCTTTGGCAGCTGTATCCACAATGCTACGTAAGACTCACATTAGGCCTGTGGTCCCCTCATGAGCCCCTCCACCTCCCATTGTGCTTTTCTATGTCAGTCATTCTGGGTTAGGTTGTTCATAGTGGCGGAAGACTTGTGGAAGCAGATGACTGGGACCCGTTCCAGGTCCAATTTCTGGTTCACAGGTCTTGGGGCTTCACATATTGCTGGTGATGTTGATGCAGCTCGCCAGGAACCACCCTCAGAAACCGCTGGATGAGCACAAAAGTTTTATCGAAGAAAGAGGAAATTTAATCTGCCAAAGTCCAGATCACAGGAGAAACTACTAATAAATACTGACATGAAAAGTACTCAATTTTACTCATAATCCAAGAACAGAAAATTAAGACATGGTTGACAAAGCATAATCTGTCCAATCAGCAAACTTTTAATTTGCTTTTTTCATCTTGCCATTAAAAAAAAGATTATCTCCAAATCTAGTAAGGGCACCCTAAAATGGACCATCTCATAGACTCCAGGGGTGTTGTAAGCTAATTTTTTTTTACAGGAAAGTGACTATTAAAATATTCATCCCTTTAACCTAATGATTTCCTTTCAGAGTAAGGAAACAGTCCCATCCGGGGACAAAAATGAAGACCTTTGTGGTGAGGAGTGGCCGGAAAGGAGGGGTTTTGGTGAGTCTAGATTTTGGGGATAACTAGGGTTCTTTAGGCTGGGACATTTGAGCTTTGCCTGGAGCCTCGGAAGGGGTCAAGATGACTACGTCAGAAGTGAGAGGATGGGGTAGCGAGGGCTAGCGCATGCTGTGGTCATCAGGAGCAGGCAGGAGGATCTGGTAAATGGGGCAGAGCCCAGGGATCCCAATGGCTTTGTGAATCATCATTTTGAGGATGACTATTTGTTGAGAAGGCTCAAAGAGATATGTCAGAGGTGACTTGGGCACAAGCATGCATAACTAAAATGCCTAAGGGGGTCACATGTGTATATGTGTACAAATGTAGTGTTTATGAGTGGATATGCATGTGTACATGTGCACATCTCACAGACATGAAAATGAACATGTGTGCATATATGCATTTCACACATGTGCATAAGTGTGTGCATCCCCTGTATGTATGTGTGTGAATAACTAAATATATGTACACACACACACACACACCCCAACTTGCAGGAGTTTTATATCTGTGAACAAGGTCTCCGAACAAATTGTTTGATGGCTCCTAGGGCAAATGATTCTCAACCAACTTTCTGAATCAGAACTTCTTAAGGGAATGGGCACCTTCAGTTTGGGGAAGCTTCCCTGATGATTTCTACAGATGAGTCTCTTAGCATCCTCGTGTCACCTGGATACAGCACCAGGATGGAACAGCAGGGCTGGAAAAGGGGCAGGCCTCGCCTGTGGAGCTCTGCCAAGGAGAGAGTAAGTGCCTGAGGTGGCGAAACAAAGAAAACTGACATGAACGTCAAATAATTTAACTTCAAAATATGGCCTGCGAATGAGGGCATCTTTCTGCCTTTACTTCCTGGAATCGTTAAAGAATTCCTCTTGTCAATATCCCCATAGGTAGAAAACCTTTTATGGCTCTCTCATTTAAGATAGTGTGTGTGTGTGTGTGTGTGTGTGTGTGTGTGTGTGTGTGTGTGACTATTGCTTGAGCCATGCCTCCAGTCCTTTTTGCTCTGATTTTTTTTTTTTTGAGATAGGGTAGACCACAATCCTTCTATTTATGCTTCTTTCAGTAGCTAGCATGCCAGGCATGAGCCACTATGCTCAACAATGGGTTGAGATTGGGGTCTCATGAACTTTTTTTTTGCCTAAGAAAGAAGCAGGTCTGCGTTGACAATAGGATATTGTAAGCAATAAGCAGAAGGGGGTCCCACTAGAGAGTGCCCTATTGTCTTAGAGCTCCATGCCCGAGATAAGATGACATCTACAGACCCATGATTGCATTTACCAGTTGTGAGACACTTCCTTGCGGCCAGAAGCAAGCTTCCATCACTTACAGAACTTCCAACATCCGTTGGAACATGAACCACTATAACAGATCATTGGTGTCCTGCCTTTATTCCCGCTCCATATATTAGCTACTGAGATTAAAAAAAATATCCAGTTATGATTCTAGTCTGTTTAAAACCCTCTGATAGCTTCCAATAATAGAATCCAAACTTCTACATCCTCTTGGCCTTCCCTGAGAATATTCTGCTTATTGAACTAAATTTCTTAACATTGACTCCCATGGTTCCTATGCTCTAGCCACACTAGAGACTAGAATGTTTTACAAACTAGCACCCGTTGCAGAGCCTTTGCCCTTGCTGTTCCCTTGACTAGAATAGCCTTGTCATTCCTCTCAGATCCCAAATCCAATGCTGTCCTTGGAGGGACCCTCCCTGGCTTTTTCTGAAATAGCACCTGCCCCAGTAGTTTTCAGTCAAGAAGATGTCATAACAAACGCCATTGGGAAAGGAGGACGGAAGACAGAGAGTCCCAGCTGTCTCTCTTCTCTTTGAGCAGAATTGACTTGATTTGATCTATTTCCAGGGGAAATTTCATTGGATTCTTACAACGTCAACATCTTTGAAAAACACTTGCCTTGCCCCTTTGCAGAGAAAAATTAAGGTCTCTCATTGCAGAAACTACCCTTTGGGCCACAAAGTTCAGGGTGTCTGTTCTAGTAGGGAACAGTCCATGCCTTTGGCAGAAGACCGAGACAACTCATCCATGCTGGTCCTGCAAGGGGCTTCAGACGCCTCAACCCAGCCCTCCAGGCAGACAGCCACAGCCAGTCAGTCACAGCTGGATGGAATGAGAAATAAAAACTAATTACCCTCCCTGTGTCAGGACTCATGCTGGCTCAGGCTCAGATATCTTAAGTCCAGTTAGAAGCAGATAAGGAACCACCTAAGTAGCTGCAGGCTGAGAACTTTCACTAAGAAGACCTGTTGGCATACAAGCAATGGTACTTTGTAGCAGACTCTTCAACACCTGGTGTCGCTGTTGTAAACACCTGTTGGCAGAAAGCCATGGCTCATGGGTACAATGAACTATATGTTAAGTGTTGCCTTCTCATAGGTCAAAGGCAGCGTCTGCCTCCTTTGATGACCACCTACCTGCAGCTTTTTCACGACTCACCGAGTGATGTCACCTAGCACCCTGAGCTGGGCACTCTTATCCCTGGGTCGTCTGGTTGGAAGAGGGGAGGGATTCTCTAGAGTTCCAGGATCGTTGCTCCCCTCCAGCTCCCTCTAGAGTGTGAGAGGAAACTCTCCATGCCCAGACTCCCAACTCCTGTTCCAACTCCAAAGACAGCTTCTTCCACCTCCTTCACTCTGCTGCCATCTCTAATTAATGTTCCTCCGGATGCCAAATACTAGAATGGAGTTTCTCACTAGTGTTAGTTTCTTGGCTGTTGGACAACCTCCTCCTGCTTAGATATCTCCTTGGTTTCCAAGTCACCCTGAAA